TATATATATATATATATATATATATATATATATATATATATATATATATATATATATATATTTGCAAAAATAACCACTTTGTCCGGAATGGGGTATTCCGGACCAAGAAAAAACATTTTTTTGACTAATTCTGGAATGACATTCCGGATTCCGGACTAAAATTTCAGATTTCGGAAAAAGAAAAAACTCCGAAATTTCAAAAACAAGTCCGGAATTTCGACAAAAAATCGTTTTTTACTTCAATTTTACAAGAAGTTAAAAAAACATATTAATGTGACCTATATACAATGTTAGTATATGAAATTATACATTTTATTGAGACATTAAACATTTTGAAATGTAGCATTTAGAATCCCAAAATAAAATAAAATTTTATTTGAAAAAAAAAAAAAGACTATGGAATTTGAACACTACTCTGGAATTAGGCATTGTGGAGAAAATGATTGTTTTCAAAAACTGAAAAAATATGATTAATTTTTTTAAAAACCTCATTTATAATGGTTAATTTACTCAATTCCCCTTTGTTAAAAGGACGGACATTATAATGACTTGATAACTTGTTAAACAAATAAAAAAAATAAAAGCTATTTATAGGAAAATTTTATAATTACAATGCTCTTGTTAAACCTTCAAATTAAATTGAAATCGCTTTGATTTATTATGTTTAATTTATTTAAAATAAATAACATTTTTAGTTAGTTTTTTTTAACCGTAAATCTAGTACTATAACACTAAATTACTTCTAATCCCATTTAGCTTATTTTGATCTTCTGTAAACCTTTACATGGAAACCAAGTTTTGTTTATTTATTTATTTATTACAATAATTGTAATTATAATTACATGTACATAACTATCCATAACAAATTAAATAGTATATTCAATATTTGTGTATTTGGGGTATCATGAGATATGTAATAATTGTTTATATTTAATAAGTACTATGTTACTATTATTTTTTTTAACTGTTTCAAGAATGATCAAATTAACTTAAAATTTTATTAAAAATAAAAAATAATTTAGTCGTTAAATCAATAGAGCTTTTCAACTTGTGGATTTTTCCCTTTAACTTATTAAAAAAAAAATACTAACTATTGTTTCACAATCTAACCAATTTTATAAGTAATATAAAATGGAAAAAATTGATCAATGTTTTTTCCCGAATATGTCTTGTACTTTCACACTTTTAACAATGTAGATTGCACTTAGCTAACGAGCGTGCACATGTGACTGATTACACGAAGTAATTAGACAAATTTATATTATTATTATAAAAAAAAATTATTAAATATTAAGATATCATATTTATCTAATTTAATTTTTAAATATTATATAATTTTTAAAAATTTTAAAATATCATATTTATCTAAAAAAATTGTAACACTTTTATAATCTTATTAAATACTTAGTTTAATCAAACGACTATTATACAATCTTATAGATCTATGTTTACAATATCATCTATATCGTTTATAAAAATTTTAAATATCATATTTATCCAAATCGTTTCCAAACCACTACATGTGATGGAGGAATTAAGAATGCATCTACTCCTTAACCTTTTTTTTCATTATCATTTGATCCATGTAGTTTATTTTTGTAAAGTTGATTACATATATACTTAAAAAAAATGACTTAAATAATACTATTTTTTCAAGATGAATCAATTAAAAATATCGTAGAAATGTATTACATCAATTAATACTTGACAAGAAAACATAATTTTGAAAAAAAAAACAAAAACTTGATATTGAAAAAATAAAATAAGAAAGAAATCGTTGTACCTAATTCAAGTCTCAGAAAATTGTGTATTTTTATCATTGTAAACATTCTATGTACGGATGGGGACGTTGAAGGCTATGGGAAAAATATATTTTTTTAGAAACGGCAAATCTACACTACTCTTAAATTACACTTAAAACCACTTATGTCTCCAATGAGATTTGAACCCTGAACCTCTAGGAGGGAGAGCAACACCCGGTACCGCTGGGCTAGAAGTCATTTAGTATGGGAAAAATACATGCATTGTTCATGTAATCAGATATCTAGATTCAATTAGGTTTTGATATTTATGGGCAATATGGTCAACCTATATTTTTTATACTTATAACAATTTTGAAATATAAAAGTTGATTATAAAATGATAAAAAAAAATTATTAAGCTAAATATAATATTTTGAAAGTTAAAAGGATAAACATTATATTTATAAATTAGGTTGGACAAATATGATATTTTGATATTTTGATATTTATCAAAAATATATACAAAATTCCCCTTTATTAAAATGCATAAATTAAAGCATCTATAATGAATAAATTTCTTTATTTTGGTAATTTTAATTAAAAAAGTAATTGTTTCATAATAAGAGAGATTTTTCTTTTTGCTTATTCTTTGGATAAATTATTTATTTATAACCGATGAAAATCTATAAACTCACTCTAACCATTGAAAAGATTGTGACAATAACTTGTAAAATTATAAGCTTCTTCAAAAAGCTTTGTTTAAAAAAATAATAAATAAATAAAAACCCATTTTTCAATTTTTAATAGTTTATTGGTTTCAAAAATCTTTTGGAAAAATTGCTAATAAGCTAGTATTGTATTATTGTATTATGTATGCTCTTAAGTAGAAAGTTTAATATTGCAAATTAAAGAAATTTCACACACATGTGCAAAATTCGTGAAAATTCACATGGTTTTTCTAATAAAACACCACCTTATGACTTTTTCAAATTTCAGAGAATCATCATATTTTGTCCATAAGAAATTTCGTCAAATGACCATTTATAAGGGTTGTTTTAACGATTTAACCATGAAAATCGAAGTTTTGTAGAATGACCACAAGACCCGTAGAGGATGCTCTGCGGATCGACTAAAGCCTCTAAGGAACCTTGCACACCTCTACGAAAATGAGGTGGAAGCACAAAAAGACAATTTTTTTGGGTTTTTAACAGTTTCGCAGAGGCGTCTCTGTGAAACCTATGTTGGGCTCTGCGGATCGATGTTCATATCTGCGGAATTAATATTTTTTTTATTTTGATTTTATATGCAAAAAGGATTATTAAGCAACAAAAATTATTAAAAATGATAATTAAACAAAAATTATTAAAAAAATAGACTTGTTTAATGATCCTTTTTCATAATTTTTGTTGCTTAATAATCCTTTTTGCTTATAAAATCAAAATAAAAAAAAATACTAATTCCTCGGAATATCCATGCGATCCGCAGAGCCCAACATAGGATCCGCAGAGACACCTCTGCGGAACCGTTAAAACCCCGAAAATTTTTGTCTTTTTGTGCTACCACCTCTTTTCCGCAGAGGTGTGCAAGGTTCCTCAGAAACTTTAGTCGATCCGCAGAGCACCCTCTGCAGATCTTGTGGTCATTCTACAAAACTTCGATTTTCATGGTTAAATCGTTAAAACACCCCCTATAAATGGTTATTTGACGAAATTTCTCTTTTTCCACTTGTCTACCGGTTCATCTACATCATAAACCCTCTAAAATTCATGTAATCATAAGAAAAAAGCCATTTTATAGTATACAGTGTTATAGGGCTTACGTAGTTTGCTCCCGATTCATCTAGAATTCCACCAGCACCAGAAGCATAATTTACGCCATCAAGAACTACAGAACCACAGGAGGTTGGAGCTAGGTATGGTGGAGGAAAATGTTTGAAACCCAATGATTGACCTGAGGTAATTAACAAAACTTAATAAGAATGAAACTAAATAAACTACAAAGACAATAGCTTTTAAATATAGATGAACAATATATGGAAAAGATTGAGTTACCTAATATGTCACAAACAGTTCTTCCATTAGTAAATCTTCCTGTTGGCTTCCCAAAATCAATCCCAACAGGCTCATAATTCGCCTTAGCAAATGTTGTTATGTAGTTATTGTTACCCACATCTACAAGTGAATCACCGAAAATAAAGATTGCAGAAAAGTTTTGAGCCATGCACGTGTTCATACAAACCAAGACGATGAAGATGTTTGTTATACAGGAACAACAAGACATTAATCTAACCAATAATTTCCTCCAAGAAAATTTTGAAGAAAGATTAGTAATGAGCCAGGTTGAGGGATGATACTCGATCACGTTGAAAAAAATAATGAGATGTCTAATGATGAATTCGTCCATAGATTTAAGTTTATGTTTCTTTTGGGTTCATTACAAGAGGTTCATGTTGGTATAAAAGCATGAGTTTTGGTAAAAATCTCTTTTCGAAAATACTTTTTTTGTATATACAAAAAGGTTGGTAGTGTAAAGAGTTGATGAGAAATACTAAAATAGAGTGGTAATTTTCAATCCTTATTAGAGGGGTGATTTCTTTTTGTTAATGGGTTTAATACAAGAAATAACAACAAAAATCAATTACGTGTTTTTTTGGTAACTAATTGAATAAATCAATGACGATTTTTTATGGCCATTGATTGGATAAACCAGTGACAACTTTATATGGTCACTAATCAGATAAGATTATGACCACTTTTTTTTATGGTCACTAATTAGATAAAACAGTGACAACTTTCATTGTGACGATATTTAGTGACGAAATGGATCGTCACATATATATAGTGGCCAATATATTTTAGTCACCAATTAGTGACAATTTTTATATTTGGTCACTAATCGGTTTTGTGACGGGCCTATAGTGACGAAAAATGACGACCAAAAATTTGGTCACTAAATCATTTAGTGACGACTCCTTCTATTGTTAGTAACCATTTTGTTTTCGTCACTAATTGGCATCTTTTTTGTAGTGCATACACTAACAAAAATGGTTTATGTCTAGAGCATGGAGAATGTTTCACATAATTATCATTTCTCATTAACTAAAAATAGTGTTTTATGGATAGAAGTCCCATTTTTGGGGAATTTTTTGATAAAGTTCTATTTTTTCTTTTTGTAACAGAAAATTCTCAATTATTTAACATTTTGTCCAAATTAACGATAATTTTTTTAACAGAAAATGATTGATTATGTGATTTTCCCAAAATAATAAAACTTTTCTGTTCGAAAAAAAAAACAATTTAGGATTTTATAAAAAAATTTCCGAAAATAATAAGACTTTTCTGCATAAACCCTTGGAAATATATATTAAAGATATAATATAAATACGGATTGTAAGCGGTGGTAAGATAAAGAGGCCGTGACAGATAGTGGATGAACAACACCCAAATCAAAACACGTATATAATCCGGCTCTGTAATCTTACGGAAAAAAGATGGATAAATTAAAAAAAAAAGTTTTGATCCAATAGACGCAAAATACTATTCCTAAGGAACAAACTTTTAATATATATATATATATATAT